AGAGGAATCGGACTCAGCTTAAAATAATAAAATATATTAGGCTAATAATAAAATATATTAGGTTTCCAAATATTGATTTTGGATATTAAATTCTATAGGAAATATAAACTTATGAATGATGATTCCAAAATAATTAGTCACTATTAAAATGTCTTTGGTAATAGATTTATTAAAATGATATTAAGCAGTGCTTTTCTGACATAAAATCCACTTATCGCAAATCAATAAAAAAATCAGTTCTAGCATAAAATTTGAATCTCAGGTTGACTTTATGAGAAAAACTAGATTATTTATGTAGCAACAGATTAGAATATTTAGGATATATCTGATATATTCTAAGTGATATATTTTATTCTATATATATTCTAAATGATATATAATTTTTATTCTGCATAGTAGAAAAATACTTAACTGATACAAACGAAAGTCATTTCATAGATGCCGAAATTAGCATTTGGTTAGTGAATCCATAAAGAGAGTAATAATCTGGTTAGCACATAGTCAAATTATAGGTGATGATACAGACTGTGTTTTTAAAAATCATTTTAGGTTCTTTATAGAATATGAAACTTTTTTATTTAGCCCCACTGTATCACTGTATCACTGTCATCCCGTTGTTCATCGATTTGCTAGAGCAGGCACCAGTAATGTCTCCATTCGTCCCTGTCACATGCTAATGTAGCCATAATGGCATATGCAGGCTCTTTCAGGGTCAGGGGAATGAAGAACATCATTGTTACTGTTTTTGGCATATTAACTACACCACGGGTAGCTTGCCAGGCTCAGCCGTGCGGGCGGGATACTCTCAGTAGCTTGCCGGGCTCTCTGAGAGGGATAGAGGCTTTTGGGGCAGCCTCTAATCACCTTTACAGGTGAAATAAATAAATAAAGTAAAATACTTTAGATAAAATGTCAGAATACATTATATAATCCCTTTAATAAATGGCTCTACTTTGTGGATTTTTAACAAAATTTTCTCTGGTTAGGAGCACGTAAAAGTTGTCTTGTTTTTATGAATTTCTGTTATCAATGACATATTCTGCCCTAACATAATTTGTGATGTGATAGAAAAGATGAACACAAGAACACAATAATTTTCCATATATAATATCTAATATACATTCTCTGCTTTTTTGAGTAAGGTATAAACAGACAAAAATCCATTATCATTGGGTCAGATAATCCAATGCTTGAAAAAATCTTGAAAAAAAATGTCTATTCAGTTCCCTTCTCTAAACCAAGTTAATGTTAAATGGTTCTTCTGTAGAAAAACTGCTGTAAATCAAATTAAGTATTCCTCCTCTGGTATCCTGAGAAACAATGCAACAAATGTTGAACACAGAAAGTAAATTATCATACTATCATTACCGTTACCAATATGCTACTCATAAAATCTTGGTCTTATATCACTTCATAGAAGAAATAACACACAATATTCTTTTTTTAGAATATATTGATTTCATATTCTGAAGAGGGTGGTGTAGATTATGTTCAGAGCTACTGTGTTGTTGAGGATAAATGGTTTGCTTACATGTATGGCATGACCACTGGGTTAAGAGCTGATGTTCACATTTTCTCAGATATTTAAACTTTAAACATGGGGGGGGGGGGACCTAATTAATCTGATTCATGCGCTTTGACAAAATGAACCATCATTCCACTACCTCATCTCTACCACCACCATCACTGGACTACTCTTGTCTAATCATGAAAGAAAGTAGAACCAAATAGCTATGAAACTTTTAGGCTCATGGCTATAATACTATGTGCAATTTATGTAATACAGATATTGTGTTTCAAGTACTGTAATCAACTACTTCTTGATCTTTCAATGGACTATTCAATTTAAAGGCTAATTTAGGAGGCCAGAGAGGTAGCTCAAAAAGACTTGAGTACATGCTTTGCATGCAGGTCCAGGTTCGATCCCTAGTACCTCATGGTTCCTTAAGCCAGGAGTTCCTCTGAGCACTGTTGTCCATGTCCCTTCCTTCCCTCCCCCCAAAGAAGGGGAGAGGGCAAATAGGTGAATGAAACAACTGGTGAAAGATTATCAGTTAAAAAATATATTTTTAATTCTTAATTATAGAAACAGTGATTAATTAGGAAACCATGGGGTAAGATACCCTCGCTAATTGAAAGGCTGTGTTTAAGTCAGGTTCATAAGATTTCCTCAGTAAGCACTGTCACCAAACTGATTCTGGAATCATGAGTCTGAGCATTATTATGGTGAACTGTACTAGACACATAAATTCTTGAAATACAGGCAAGTCAGGCTGAATGTCCTGGATAATATTCCTAGGAATTATCTATCCTTTGCTTTAAGATTACAAAGAGGTGACTGGGAGAGACTGGTTAGATGGGCTCCCACAAACTATGCTTAGTCTAATGGAAGAAGCAAAAGTGGGGAGTCAGGGAAACAGCTGGAGTGGCAGCACAGATGCCTCCCAGGTGTGAGGTCCAGACGCCATCCCTGAGTGCCATGGTGCCTACATCCCACTAGTGTGTAAGCTCTGACCCAATAGCAACAAGAAGTTCCCTAATAGATCAGCCTTTAATTCCTTCTACAGGATTCGATCTATACTTCTCCATTGACATCTTCTCCATGTACATGATTATTTTTAGAAACCAGTTGCTAAGGCCCCGACATCTAAAATATTTGGAGTCTTTCACTATAAATGAATCATTTAAAGACTGGGATAGGGTGGGTGGGTGGGTGAAGTGTGGATAAGGAACATGTCATGTTAGGTACCAGTGTTACTTCAAATAGCTTCACAGTTTTCTAATCAATTTTTGAGATTTAGTTCAATGGTTCATCGATTTGCTCCAGTGGGCACCAGTAATGTCTCACAACAAATTGTGAGACTTGTTGTTACTGTTTTTGGCATATAGAATATGTCATGGGGAGCTTGCCAGGATTTGCTGTGCAGTCGAGATACTCTCAGTAGCTTGCCAGGCTCTTAGCGATAGCACAACGGTAGGGGGTTCACCTTGCATGTAGCCGACCTGGGTTCGATTCCTCTGCCCCTCTCAGAGATCCCAGCAAGCTACTGAGAATATCACACCCACACGGCAAAGCCTGTCAAGCTACCCGTGACGTATTCTATATGACAAACACAGTAACAAGTCTCACAATGGAGACGTTACTGGGCCCGCTCAAGAAAATCAATGAACAACGGGAAGACAATGACAGTGACAGTTCAATGGTTGTCAAATTAAACTCCTTTGAAATAATTCTTAACAGGCTATACTGGAAGTAAGGACCAGCTCGAAAGTAACTGAGATAAAAGACAAACATATAGGCTAACTTACAGCACATAAGTATTCAATAAAAGGCAATTTTAGGGACTGTAGAGTTTGTCTTGAACATTTCTTGGTTTGATTCCCAGCATTCTATATGGCCATACCCAAGCTCCAACAGGAGTAATCCTTGAGCATAGAGCCAGGAATAACCCTTGGGTGTTTTCCCTCTTCTAAAACATAATTTTATAGGCATTGCAGCTATAATACTTGGGTATTATAGGGTACTTGCCTTGCAGGTGGTCAACCTGGGTTCCATGACTGGCATCATATATGGTTCCCTAAGCCCTATCAGGAGTGACCCTGAGCACAGATGCAGAGGGGGATAAGCTCTGAGCACTGGGTGTATCCCAGAAGCAAACAATAATAATAATTCTATATACAACATTAACAGGAAATTTCTAAAGCCCAAATATGGCGTGTGGCTCATGAGACAAGTGTTCTCTAAATGAACAACTGGGCTTAACTTGTCTAACTGTAAGAGTACCTGCTACCTCTGTCACAGACGCTATGTGCTGTGGTTTTTGCATGGCCCAGTATGTGCACAGATCTGATCTGATCCTAACCAGACTTCACTCAAATAGATGTTACTTCCATTGAACAGAAAGGGAAAATAAGCTTCAACTTGTGATGAGACTAAAAAAGAAAGAGATTCACAAAAATGCTGGCTTGCTCACTACCTACAAAGTACTTTGCTCTATAAGAACTAAGCACAGTTGGCTCACTTCCTCCTTTGAAAGCTTGGCACCCGCCAACTGGCTTTTTCTCTCACCTGACTCTGTAGCCCCAAAGCCCTACCTACAGAGGTGAATTCGTTGCTGTGATATGTGCAGTATGCCTAAGTTCACTAAGGTAATGCTCCGCCTTCCTCTTTCAGTTCGCATCTTGGGACAGGGGTCCACAGTCAGTGGTATTTTCAGTAGAACGGTTTTCACATTTGTGTGCCCTGTGTTGACAAGTTGTTGTTTTGGTCCCAGAGTGAAGGCTAGAGGGGAAACCTGTGTGTGCGTGTGCATGTGTGTGTTTGGCAGAGGGGGGTTCTAATGGAGAAAATACAAGTGTTAGCTCTGTTGAGGCATGGAGAAACAAGTTAATGGCCATAAGTTCAATGTTAATCAACCTGCTACATGAAATATGGTGACCTTCCTTGGAAACTTAGAGAAGCCAAGTTCTCTCTCTATCATCTGCAGCAAGGGCTGGGGTGAGAGGCCCCCTGAACCCACTGTTCTCTTTTTCTTGGAGCAGAGGCTTATAACATAATCAGGCTTCATGCTAACCTGCTTCATATAATCAGGTACAGAAGATAATATGCCAACAGTGATAATGGACAAGCAATTCATTTGAAAACTGTCACTCCCCAGAAGCTACACACATGGATATTTCAGTGAGAGGCTCCCCTGTGATCATTCCCTTTAAAGAGCATTATCTGCAGCCACCACTCATCTGCTCAAGAAACAAAGCTCTGCGTCCCAATTCTCTTTTATGACTTGGAGTAACTTGTTTTGGGACTTGGCCTAGAAAATTAATCTCTTTCCAAAATAGTCTTTTGCCAGTGAAAGTCTAAATTTCACTTCTTATTACTGAAAGTCAAGGACCACTGTTTAACAGAGAGCTTGCTGATTTCCAGTTCTTGTAGTATTTATAATTAAAGCTGCCCTAGTCAGGGCTATTTCAATAAAAGAAGAGGAGAGTTGACTGGTTTTGTAATTTTTTTGAGATTTGTGACTTATAAATGAGACTGTTACAGATACTGCAGGCAATGTGAAAAAGAATGGCAAACTGAGCACAGACATTCAAAAATATCAGTATGAACCATAACTCTTACCTTTCTTGCTGAAGCCAAACATTTTATTGGACATAAAAAATTATTACAGCATTCAAAAATCCAAACAAGGACAATTCAGGATGGAAAGAAGATAAACCTGAAGGAGTCCAATCTCTTTAGTACAATTTTTGAATAAAAAACAAAACAAACAGAAAACAACAAAGAAAAAACCTGAACACCAGAAAAACAGTTTATGGCCTAACACACTAGTTTCATGATTCATACATATATATGTATATGTGTGAGTATGCGTGTGTGAGAGAGTGTTTACTTAGATATCCAAAGTATATGTCCATCATGTGACACCTCATCACTGTTTTACAACTTAGGCAGGGAAGCAGCTTTTACTATGGTAAAGCCATGTGTCATCAATACCATGAAGCCAGTCTATCAGTTGTAATAGCTTCTATAAAATACCACAGTAAGATTGCAATCAGGCTAGAAAATGGGCTACAAATCCAAGCTATGCTCAAGCAGGCAGTGAACCAAAAATAAAAATAGGTAAAATGGAACCATGAATAAAAATAGGTAAAACGGAACAATCTAGTGCTCATCTAGATTCATGACCAATGAGGCAAAGTTCACAGGCCAAGGCTTCAAAGTGACTCATTCAGATCTAAAAGACAATCATACAAAAGAGAATAAAAGCATCTTTGTGATTTAGGTAAAAAATTCATAAACTTACACTCCAAAGGACACAGCATTAAAAAAACAAATCACCAAACCCCACATGATATTACCACTAAAATAGTATTTTAAATATGCAAAGGTAAAGAGAATTCAAAGTTGTACTCTCTCACCTTTTATCTATCCAGTTCAGATAAGCAATCTGAAGCTGTCATGTAGTCCTGATAAATCATTTGCTAAAATCTTTCATTGTTTAATCACTTTACATTATGGTCAACTCTTAAGTTTCTTTTCCAACCATCATATTTAAGTTAGCCATTAGATACTAAATTAATCATTATTTCATTATTCCATACAACAACATAAAAATACATGTATTCAATCACATTTTCATCAATTATTGGAACATAACAGAATCATTAATCATTGTAATATAACCACTTTGAAGAACTTAAATGGCCCAAAGTAATGTCTACTATTCCATTAACAGATATGTTCTATTTCTTCTCTATGTGGTGAAAAATGTGGTCATGCCAGTATTTTCACCCTCACATGTGTCTGTTATGGGGTATTTTCCTACTTCAGAACTGTACAAGCAGCTCTCGCTTTTAAACATGATGGTACAATTCAGAGCAATGCAGCATTTGTTGAAATACCAGCTTTCATATGATTTCAATAAACAGTGAGCCCAAATGATTCCTTCGATTGGCTTCACAGATCAGACAAAGACTTCAAAGGTTATGGTAAATACTTCTACTAGCACAGATGAGTCATCACTGTGGCTAGTTGACACTAGGATGGGTGTGCAGTACAGTGAATACTCTGTGATAAAATACAATGGGTTCGCGATACAGAGCAATGATCTCAGTGGAAAGCAAAGTGAACAAGATACAAACTCTAGCAAAAATGAGCAACCCTACCTATTACTCATCGTAGCTCTTATTTTAAATACCCTGAAATTTCAAATGCAAATTTTTAAGTAATGCTAATCATATACGAGTTCTCTAAAAATGAACCATCAAGATCAATGTATTATGTGTTTTTTATTTATAAACAATCAAAGATGTAAAAATTTGCTCTTACGCAGTCACAATATAAACATTAAGCAATCCTTATATAAGATCTGGACGTTTTAAACTTTCTAATTTTTGTTAGCATTTTGGCAACGCAAGTGGTACATAAATGGATTCAATGCAAAAATATCACGAAAGAGAAAAATATTTAAAATTTACAATACTTTCTGCCCACCCCAGGGCCAACTTAGATACCTAGAGAGGCTCCCCAATCAGGTTTCACTTCTAGCTAAAGGAAGAATACCAGTCCTCCAGCAAAACCAGCCCCATCTTTGCATCAAAGAGGCTCTCACTTCAATGAAATTCCTCCAAGGGGAGAGGACAGGAGCCAGGTCCCTCGCATGGTATTCCCCAGATGTTGAAAACGTAACTAATTTATTAGCATTAGAAGATTTGGTTTATAGGGGAATTTCACTGGTCCAGTCTGCAGCCTACAAAAAAATGGATCATTTTTAAGTATAACATTAGAATATGAAACAAAGAATGAGGATGTGTGGCTTTTTAGTCCACAGAAATAGATATAATTCCAAACATGACAGTCCAACAAAGCAAGAAAGCATGCCTACCATTGAAGCTGGGGCTCCTCCAGACTTTCTAATACTCTTGGCAGGCATTCCATGAAGGCGACTGAGTCTCGCTTGGAAACCTGGAAAGTCAAAGACTCAACTGAGGGAATTCTTCAATCACTAGAGCACAGAAGAACATCCAGTCAAGACAGAACCCCAATAAACCAGATGTAAACAACTTACACAGCAGTGAACAGAACCTCACATGAGGCCAGAAACAATGCGGGAAGAGTTCGGATGCAGCAGGTGCACAATCCAACATCATTAACTACTAGGCTGTTATCTAGAACCTTCCTTATTCTCCATTTACCTGTCTACCACATGTCACCATCTTTAGGATAGGTCTAGCAAGGAAGTGAGTGGCCTTCTCCTGGGAATTCAAGAGCATGCTCCAGGTGGTTGCTGAATTACTGACCAACATATTTCTCAAAATTCTGTGCTGAAATTTGTTTCCGGTCAATCTATCCTCTCCAAGTGGTAATCCCAAGACAGACCCACCAAGCCCACTAGTTCCATCCACCAGACTGTGCTACTGACCTCTTCTGCCCGAATGTGACATAAAGGGAAAAGAACCAGTTAAGATACTTTCAAAGACTGGGTCTGGGAGATTCTTGTCCAGGTCCGCAGGCTGTTCCTTCTCCCACCAGGGCACAATTCCGGTGATGCCACAAGCTCCACCCGATTCCTTTTCATAGAACCAGTCACTCTGCTCATCATCACCTATGCAGGCAGAAAAATACCCACAGATCCATCAGTCACATGAAGAGCTGTCAGATTTAGACAAACCAACAAGATGGTGCAGGTAGACGGAGCAAAGGATGGAGCATGTGCTTCAAATGTGGGAGCCCAGGGCTCGATCCCTTCACAGTTATCACCCCAATACCCCTTCATGTGGCCTCCCACAATGCCCCCACCAAATACAAATGGCTGTTAAGTCTCAATTTTAGATGCACGACTAACTTTTTGCATAAGCATATATACTATTTGCGCATATTTTAAATTAAAGGATGTCTAAATGCTGTTTGGGACATAATTATACTAAACAAGGAATTTTTTTATGTATCTGAAATTTAAAATTTAACTTGGGATCCAGTATCTTATATAATACTAATCTACAAAGGAAATTCTTAAAATTCTGTACTTAAGAACTGTCATTAATAACAAAATGTTTTAGAACCAATTCAGAGATATGAAAAATGGTAACAAACTATTTAATCCTTTGGCAAATTTGTAGGGAAATCCATTAAGTGACTAACCTTTTCACATTAAGGAAAAAACATGCATTAAACGCCAGGAATTTAAAGTTTCAGAACCGTAAAAACTGACTCTTTGCATTTGATAATGGTATCTAATTAGCATGATTTCATGATTTGTACAGAGTGTAAAAGAGGAAACAATCATCAGCAGATGTGACTAAATGAAATTAATCTGATTAAATTCATTAAGAAAAAGCTGACTGTAAATGAAAAGTGACAATTGCCCAGAGTTTATAAAGAGACTATAATGGACTACTAGTGAGTAAGATAATAAGTAAAGTAGTAAGGCAATTTTGACACACAACACCGTCCAAGTTAGGTTTGACTTTTGGGAGCATTCATGAATACCTGTGGAGTAATTGTCAATTTAAAATTCAGTCTGAAATGTGTCCTTTATGTGAAAGCAACAGAGTTTAAGTTGTTTTAAAGCAATAGTAGTTTCAATAGGAGATGAAAATATGGAATAAGAAAGATAGGTTTTAAAATTAAGTGACAAATAATATTTTAAAGATAAACAGAGATTAGCCTTCATGATTCTTAGAAGAACTACTAATTCTGGTTTCTAAATGGGTCAATTTCCAATTTTCAAAATCCATGTAAAATCTCTCTCCCACCTGCAGTTCTCATATTTTCTTCCAGTACAGGTAGTTTCAAAATACCGCCATGTGAAAGTGTGAAATTCTTCAGGAAATTTCGCAAACAGAAAAGACCTCGGCTGTCAGACACAACTGTTTTAACAGTTTATAACACTGAATTCATGAAAACCATCTAATTACTTACAAAGTGGAGAGGATGACTGAATGTCACAGCTGCATAAAAATGATAAATGACTTGCAAATCTACCTTTATTAATGCTTAAACAGGATGAAACATTTGGAATCAGTAAACTGAAAACCATGTCTTACAAACTCCAATTGCTAAAGGAGAAGTGGCTGGAAAGAGGTGGCTCCCCCGAGGGAGCTAAATCCTGCCTCCAACTGCAAGCTTCACATCCCCACTCTGGGAGATCAGCAGGTCCTTGAAGACATTAGGCAGGGCAACCAGAGGGAGCAGGTAGAGCGCCCATGGAGGGGGTGAGGGAAACGGGTCACATTCATTGACCTAGGAAGGAACTAGCAGTAAGCGTACATCACTCAAAGAAGAAAAAGAAAGCTCGGCATCTCAGTACCTTGTCTTCCTTCATCGTTGGTGAACAGACCTGCATCAGTGCTGCTCAGGCTGCTGGAGTCACTACAAGGAGAACAACAACAAAATGATCAAGAGAGTTGATCTCTTGGTCATAGAACACTCAAGCATCAGGATGCTCAGAGATGGAACTTAAGCCTGACAAGGATCTAAAAGGAAATACAATTACTTTTTTTCCCAACCATACTGCAGATACTCTGGTTCTATTAACTAGAATTATTTGGGCTGTAAAAAACTACAGGGACCTGCCAGGAAGACAGACATGACAGCTGCAAGGTACAGCCAAGGTTTGGCACCATGCCATGTTTTTCCCAGGGGCTCCCTGAATTCCGCACCACCACCCTATTCCAGAAATGAAGCAAAGATACCTTACTCCTGCACAGGACAGATTGGGGGAGGGGGGCAGGAAATGACTTCAACAACCACACCTGCTAATGTCCTGGAAAGCAAGTTTCTTAAACATTTACAACTTTGAGGAGAAAGGCAAGCTGATGCGGGGGATGGGGTGGGTGAAGATACATTTACACCAAGTGTAGGGACTGATCAGTAAGTTAAAAAATGGACAGCTGAAGAGGGGGTAGCCAAAACTGGGCTCTCACACTTTCACAGAAGTTTTAAAGCATAACAGAGTCCACTTTAAGACACAAATGTGTGCATGCAATAGCACAGCGGTAGGGCATTTGCCTTACAAGCGGTCAACATGGCCAACCCGGGTTCGATTCCTCCGCCCCTCTCAGAGAGCCCGGCAAGCTACCCAGAGTATCTCGCCCGCACGGCAGAGCCTGGCAAGCCACCCGTGATGTATTCGATATGACAAACACAGTAACAACAAACTCTCCAATGGAGATGTAGATATGTGTATGGTTAAAAATGTTGTTATCATCTGCAATTACATACCCCCTGCTTGTTGGATTGCAGGTAGATTTCCAGACTTTTCAGAGCATTCCCCCAACCCCTGCCTTACTTCTCTGCACCATCAACCTCTGCTCTCCCAGTGGAATCTTTTGTCTACCTCATCCCCTTAGAGATGAGGTCCCCAGAACCCCCTTTCTAAGGCGGATTCTCAGTCCTTAATACCCCCAGCCAACTTGCAGTGTTGTACTTGTGTTGTACTGTACATCTTTCCCTCCTGACACCCACTTCAGTGTTCCACATGTAAAGTTTCACGTGTGGGCCTGACATGTGGGTGTGTTTTCAACACATCAGAGAAGAACAGAAGCAAAAGTGAGATGTAGTGATCCCTGGGTCTCTCTCCACAGAAATCATATTCATGGGACTGGAGCAATAGCACAGCGGGTAGGGCATTTGCCTTGCATGCAGCCGACCCGGGTTCGATTCCCAGCACCCCGTATGGTCCCCTGCGCACCGCCAGGGATGATTCCTGAGTGCAGAACCAGGAGTAACCCCTGTGCAACACCAGGTGAGACCCAAAAAGAAAAAAAAAAATCATCTTCATGTTCTTATAGGGTGGCTTTTGCAGCACAAAAGTTGGGATAGCAAACATCACATGAATGCTTAATGAATCAACGTAGAAGACAATCATAGGCCTTGACACAAAACCTGGGCCTCACCAGGGTCCCTTTTCCTCCAGTCTTCCCAATACACCCATTTCCACCTATCCACACGCTTCATTTTCCCATTGACTATCACTTGCATGCTTCACTTCAGTTACCTCAGATGGACAATCAAATAGAGCCTCTTCACTAGTTTCCCATGGCTTTTACGAAGAGGTAAAATTCCCACAAGGACATGCTGTGGCCTGACTCAGCCCCCACTTTGCATGCCAGTGACATGAACCACATCCTGGCCTCATGCACATGACAGGACTCCACCATCTGGCCTCTGTACAAACCCACAGAGCCCTTCTACCAGCCGGGAAGGTCCCTCCCTGCATGGGCTCCTCCTGCTGAGAGCAATGGGAGGCACTTGCTTCCAACCAGGCAGTGGGTAAGCAGTGTCCACTCCAGTCCCTCAGTCACGCTCTGTAGAGAGCAGGCAGCCCACAGAGTGAAGAGCAGGCAGCAGCTCCTCAAGGGCTCATTCCATCTCCTGCCTCCTCCTCTCATGCCCAGTTGCATCAGCAGGTGCCTTATTCATCCACCAGATCCCAGGAAGTGCAGTAACCATTTACCGAGCGACAGCTGTCAAAGCGGTCTTAAGATACATCTCAACTGGCCAGGAAACCACCCTGCTGGGTTCTCTTCTCAGGAAACAAGGGCTCGCTTTCCAATGACAGATGAAACTACATACACGGAAACATCTCAAACAACAACCTCAACTGGAAAAGCAAATCCATCCTTTATGACAATCTGTGCCTGGGTTGTTAGGGACTGCAAGGGCACCTGCTGGTCCCCAATTTGAGCTTGGATATTTCCTACAAGGAAAAGAAAAGCAATGAGCTTCCTCTCACTTCCCAGGACGATGCCTGTCAATAAAAGACAGACATACAGAGAGAAAGTTTTTCCACACCAACTGCCAGCGTAGGGAGGCTGTGAATAATCCAGAACTGAGCACTTTTCTCGAGGCCACACGGTCCCCTCCTAGTCACTGCACAAGATAATTATTACAGTGGTAGAGGGATTGGTACTGAATTATTGTATACCTAAAACTCAATTATCAGTATTTTGTAAATCATGGCTCTTTGATAAAAATTTTTTAAAAAATTACTTTCAAATGGGCTGAAGAGTCCTCAAGATCAGTGTTGAAATAAGTCTTTGTGTGGGCCAAGCAAGACAGCTTTCTTGGAAGAAAAGTAACTTCTATCAGCTATTAAAAGCCTTCCTGATAAATCTTTATGCTTTGGTTATTTTCACGCTTAGAAGACCAACATTTATAGCAAATCAATTCTAGTAAAAAAGCTTTTTTTTTTAATAAACTTTTGCCAGATCCTGCTCCTGTGTATGCCATTTACATGCCATCAATATGTGTGCATTATGAACATTATAAGCTCTAAAGTACATAATTTCTATAATTAATATAAATCTATTCTATGAATTAAATCATTCTTTTCCTTGCTATTTTTAAGGAATGCTTTTTCTTTCTTCTTTTTTACTTGGGGGGGGGGGGGTGGTCAGTGGAGAGTCATCCTGGCGGTACTCAGGGATTCCTTTGGCTCTGTGCTCAGAGATAATTCTGGTGGTGCTCAGGGGTCAATGTGTGATGAAGAGCTCAAACCCAGGTTGGCAGCATACAAGGCAAACACTGCAACCCCTATACATCTCTCTAGTCCCCTACTCTACTTCTTGTCAGTAGCTTTAGTTGTGTGGCAAACAAAAGCACTCACTTACCTTTTGATGCTGACAAATCACCACAGTGGCAGAGTGAGGCTGCCTCCTAACGTGGAGAGATCAGACTAACTGCCAGTGGGCGCCCACCTGGCCCATTAGTCTCCAGACAAGAGCAGGTGACATAAAACTGCCAGTCAGGTGGTTTTATGACTCACCGAGATCAGAATTCCCAGTTACCCACAGACTTCCTAAAGCAGCAAGCCTCCATCCCCGCTGCCCCCCCCCCCCCCCACACACACACACACATACACAGAGCCAGGGGAAAGGCAGCAACTTCTGTGTCTCAGGAATCAAGAGTAAACTGAGGACCTAGAACACTAAAGAGGACCGAAAGGCTAGAGCTCTATAATTAAGTAAATAAATAATTATAGATCCACTTCCTAGGAGTTACAAATGTGCTCCTATTCGAAAGCACTTTCCCATTGAAAATCCATTTCCTCTTCACTTGGGAGCTGAAAATTAAGTCATTATAACACAATCACAAGACTTTGTGTAAATCAAATAAGCAATTTTGCTCCATGCTAAACATCGTAAATTATGGGGAAATATAACCGTGGTTAAACAGCAATATCGCTGCCATTATTATAATTTATAATTGCTCAGAAATAGATTTAATTAAAATACATAGCTCGGTCAACCAGCAACGCGGGAGCCACAGATTTAAACGCAGGAGAAGGGAAAAGGCACCTTTCACTCATGAGTTCATCGGAGACCTTTTGCTCTTCATATTCCATTTTGTCCTTGTCCATCTGGCTGGGTTCCTCGCTTTCCAAGACCACGCCCTCATCTTGGATCCGGGGTCCCTGTCTCACAATCTTCAGCTTCCTCTTCTTGACTTTATTCTTGGTGAACTCTTGGTATGGACAGGTGCCATCATTGTCCATGTCCTGGTCTCTGCAGCCGTCCAGGGGCTGGGTGGTGGAACGTTTGCTGGAGACATCATGGGGCAGGTCCACCGCCATACGTTTCACCTTTCTCCGCCGTCGCAAAGTCCGGTTACCCATGCTGTCCACAATGAAATCCGACTCATGCCACAGGGGCCTTTTCCCTCGGACGTTGTTGTTTAAGTTGGATGACGGCCGGCGCTTGGCCACTACCATCTGGTCGTCGGAGTCACTGTGGTCTTTCTTGTTGTTATTGTGGGTCTCCCGGTAGTCCTTGCCGGGCTCTTCTAAACTGGAATCTGAGCCTTCGCTCAGTCCATGCCCCATCTCCCAGGGGTGGTGGACATTGTAGGACCTCCGCTTCCGCCCTCTCCTCTTCCTTGCCTGGCGCTTCAGAGGGCAAGAGAGACTTCGAGAATGGTCCCCCGTTTCTGCAAAGCCTCCCCGAGCCTGCTCTGAGCTCTCCTCCAATGCCGAGACAAGATCATGAACCAACTCTTCCATGGTTCGACTGAAATGCCTGTTTCAAAAGAAGACAATAAAGTAAGAAACTATGCAGGGACCAAAGCCCCCTGGCTCCGAGGTCCCCAAACTCAGTCTACCTGCCTCTTTCCAAGAAAAGAGGATTACTCAGCAGTCCCACCCCTGGAAATTTACGTTCTTTAAGTGAACACACAGAAAGTACCCCAACTGGCTCCTATTGCCCATTGTTGAGTACCACCCCCTTGGAGGAGGACAGAAGGTTCCCTTTGGAATGATGCTTAGTTTATTACCGCAAACCATCCTCTCTTAGGAGGGAAAAGCATTATGTGATGATAATTATGTGATGACTGCCCAATCTGAGATATCATGGGCATCAACTTTCAGGCTCATTTTCAGTCTTTCTAAAAAACAATCCTCTCTCTCTTTCTCCCTCTTTCTCTCTGGAACACACAAAGCCAATTCCAAAGTTCATCACAAAGATATACAAATTCAATCACACATCATGCAAAATTCAGCAGAACTGAAACTGCTCATATGCAAATGGACACTCTTGGTCTAAGACAGGCCATCACTTGTTTTGGCCTACACTACAAAACAATCTGTGGACCTTTCCTTGGTACTGATACCTGGCATTACTGTCTGCATCCTACTTTCTGCAGCAGCCCAGGAACTGATGGTCTGTCTTTATTAACCAGTGAGCAAACTACTTTGTTAGTGGGCAAGTGACCTGCTCATCAGCAAAGAGACATCACTTGTAGGACGTTGGTGAGTAATAACTGATCCTTTCCAAACTCAACTCCCAAAGACTGGCATGATGAATGGATCTGACATCTTATTTCTCATATGTGATTCAAATGTGCAGCTTCTATGAGTAAACATTTTGCAAACCATGAAGAGATCAAAATCTTCTCAAATATAAAGAACTATTCCAGGATCAACGGTAGAGGTGGAAGATGGGTGGATAACAGTCATGGTTTCAATAACGGCCCACTGAGGGAAAAGGTCTCTACAGAGAAGGGAAACAGCCTGAGTACTCCACAGTGAGCAGATGTGGCTGCAATCTAGCCATCAACGTGGGCAGACAGTGTCTGAACCATGGCCTAAGGGTTGTGAGCACCTGTCTCTTCAGGCACTGGGAAATTCTCTCAGGTGACTCTGCTGGGCTAGCTTATTTCAATGCCACCCTGAAAATAAATGCAGAGTCAACAGGGAGTCATTCCTGGGACTCATTTCTGCCCCCACCCTCACTGCTTTCCCCTGCCTCAGCTCTGCGGGGTCTCTGGGAAAAGAGATAGAGACAGAGGGCAGCATGCCTCAGGATGGGAAGGAGAGTCAAACTCCACCTCTTGTGGAGAGCACACCCACAGCAATGTTGGCTGTCCCCCCAAAAGAAAATAATTTTTTTTAATTTATTTTATTTTTCGGTTTCAATTATACAATAAATTTTTTAATCATAGAAAAATAAAAATGAGTCATACTAGAATTAGCACTGAAGTCCAAATACGTGCTGCCATGTGAAGCTACAGAGTCCAGCAGTTCATGAATAAACCACCTTCTGTGTTTCTCCTTGTTGCACTTTTTCTTTTCCTTTAACACTCTTTCTTTGGAAGAAATAAAGTCTGAGCCATCTTCTCCCTCTGATTAATAACACTGTGGATTGAAAACAGCTCACTGGAAGTCAGTGGAATGGTGTTCCAACAAGGCTGCTTTGTCTAAAGCTAAGGGCACAGCAACACCTGGGTCTGTTTTGGCGAACAACTCTTTGAAGATCCAGCTTTCCTACCAATGGATGGCACAGCAGGTAGGGCGTTTGCCTTGCACGCGGCCCACGAAGCCGACCCGAGTTCTATTTCTCCACCCCTCTCAGAGAGCCTGGCAAGCTACCGAGAGTATTTTGCCCGCATGGCAGAGCCTGGCAAACTACCTGTGACGTATTTGATATGCCAAACACAGTAAAAAGTCTCACAATGGAGACGTTACTGGGCCCGCTCAAGCAAATTTATGAACAACAGGAGGACAGTGCTACAGTGCTCCCAATGGATGAATTACTAATTCTAAACATTTAATGTGAAATGAATTCAGTGCATGAATACAATCGCCTACTAAAACTGTCAGCTATTTTGGAAATTATAATGCAGTGCTTTATTCCAGAAAAGGAAATTTTTCTAACACTTAAAAAAAAAAAAAGGTTAGCACATCAGGATGAATCTTCAATCCACTGAAGCCTCATACTTTTTGAGTAATTTCATATAAAAATCATAGCTGCAGCTAATAGTTTAACAAAATATAGACAATAATATTACTATCAAAGTCCAATTTCTAACATCATTAAAGCTATATCAGTCTTATTTGATTTTATTAATGGTTTCCAAGAGAATAAAATCAATTTTAGAAATATTATCTTACTTATTTCCTGGTATCAGGTTAATGAATTAAAACTATTTTTATAAGCTTTTTTTAAAAAATGTTAGAAAAGCCCAAAGGCTTAAAAAAAAAAAAATGAAAAGAGAACACTAAGTCTCAAGGTGCAAGGGACATTTTTCCCCTTCAATTTCTACCAACCATCCAACCAACCAACCAACTTCCAAAAATTGATACAACCAAAACCCCCTGTTCGTGAGACACTAATATTCCATAGAATATTGCCTCCCTTCCACCTCTTAGGTCAGACAGGCATCAAGTAGTCTCAGCTAAGTTGCGGTAAGACTATCATATGGTCATCCTTGCCTTTACTTCCTCTGCCTTGGCAGTTATATTGAAGACCTCAGCACGGGAACACATGGTCCAAGAGACTTTTTTTTATTGGCAGGGTGAGGGAAGGGAATTCGGGGTAAGAGTCACAGCAGGTGGTACTTGGGGCTAGTTTCTGGCTCTGTATTCAGGGATCACTCACAGTGGGGCTTAGTGGAACTCATGTGGTACTGGGAGCAAACTGGATTTGGCTGCAAGCAAGACAAGTACCCTGTGGCCCCAAAAGAATTCATTTAGGAGATATTGCAAAACGGGCTGCAGGCATGCAAGCAGGAGGCCTGGCTGGATCCCTGACACGCCTGGTCCCCCCACACCCAAGTAGCCCCTGAACACCATGGGGTTTGGCCTGAGGGATCAACCCCTGGGCCTCCTGCAGGCAAACATGTGCTCCAAGCCATTGAATGATCTCTCTGGCCTTGATTTTAAAATCCATATTAAAATTTCTAAAACAATTCACTTAAAAAGTCATTTTGGAAATAAAATCTTGTGGGAAGAGTTTGCATTTGGTGTGATATCTAACAGACCAGCTCACTAAAGCTTTTCTTATGACATAGCAAATGGGTAAAATAAAAGTATAAAGTTCAATTATGTAAAAGGAAACTGCTTGAGCAGATGAAAGTTTTTAAAAAAATCTTCCCCCCCAAATTATTAGACAATACTGAGCAATACAAAATGTGTAATGAACTCAACATCCAATGTACCGACTCTAAGTAAAACCTTTAGCCAAAGGCAGGTTAGCTGTCTTCCACTGGAAAGCACTGACCCTTCCTGTGATGAGGGAAACACTCTTCCTGGCTTCCTTAACACCAAGCATTAAACAGTTTTTTTTCAGCACTCCCTAAAAGTGATGTCCGCGTCAAAGTAAGAAAAATCAATTAATGTAAAAAATAAGGACTGAGGGTGAAAGGAGAAGAACCAGGAAGCTGACTTGTTCCCAACTTTCGAATTTCTCTGTATTCCCAAAGAACTGTGAGTTGTTTGATGGCCCAAGAGGGGCCTGAGGACAGTCAGAAATAGACAACAGGATGCAGCAGGAGCTCAGGAAAGCCCAGGAAACTTACTCTCCATCAGTTAACAGCCTATACGACTGTTAGTGACACTTACTTTTAAAACCTCCGTCAGCAAGTTACTCCAAGGGGGGGAAAGAGCACACATTAAAAAACTAGACAACAATTTATTTGCCTGGATACTGTTAAGTATACAAGAGATACAAGAGGAAACGTTTGTCTCTGCTAAGTAAATGAAACGATTTTACTAATAAACAAACAAAAACCTTTAGGTTACAACTACAGGCTAATGGCTTAATGGCTTTCAATTATCAAATTGGGAGAGACAGAGAGAGGAGGAAGGAAGGAAGGAAGGAAGGAAGGAAGGAAGGAAGGAAGGAAGGAAGGAAGGAAGGGAGGGAGGGAGGGAGGGAGGGAGGAAAAAACAGTATGGTATAACGGAAAAGTTCTCGCTTCATCTCAGTATGAACCTGGCTTACCTTTCCTACTTAATCTGAAGAAGGCAGTGCTACAAGGAAGTTAACTGTGCTAACTACAACCACAGTGGCTTTCAAAAGTCTAAGGGAAGAAATCACCATTTTAGTCACTTGAATATTTGAATTTGGTGTGCAGTCACTTGAATATTTGAATTTGGTGTGCAGTGACTCAGGAGTACCCCACTTGCTAGTCACAGATGGGCTGAAGAATGCTCTCTCTATGCTCACAGAACCCAAAAGCTGGCAGGTCTATATGCTGGTCGGTGAACATGCAAGTCCCAGTGAGCCCAGCATGCTGCGGAGCATCACAATGGGCAGCAAAGCGGGCAAGTGGAGAACCTTCCCGGGGTCAATGTTCTAATGTGGCAGGTTTCATCCTCCGACCAACTGCAGCCCAAGCCTGTTCTCAACACTGGCTCTCAGAGTGCAATTTGAACTAACATGGTAGACCAGTGGTTTTCTTCCTGTCAGCACCTGTGGTCCCATGGCCCCGGCCCATCAAGGAACAGGTGGGTGAGACCAACCACCTTTGTACCTTCTGTGACACAATGATGCAAGAAGCATTGTAAGTTTAAAAATTTAATAAAGCGCCTTGCAGGAATATGTAAATATGCTTCCTTAATGACAAAATGGTAACACAATATCTACCTTGAATGAATGCTGTCAAATGTCACAGAGGACCTTTCGCCCAGCCTACTACTGGACTGACAGGCTACCCTCAGCGTTCAGGACTGGAAAAGGAACTCACCTCAGTGACTGACCCTCCCCTTCAGTGTAAACATTTAGGCTAGTTGAAAACATTCTGACCTACCTAGACTCAGCCATGAGTGAGCAGTAACCTTCTCTCTCTCTTCTACCAAAGAGCTAGCTTGGGGACAGAGGAGCAGCTTGGGGACAAAGGAGCCCCACACACCAACAGTGAACTGTCACGTTCCATGATAGTCAGCAATACATACAAAATAAAACTCTGGGAAAGAAGGGAACTTCCTAGAAGGTGTGTTTGAGTCAAAGCTTTGATTCTTGTATCTCAATTCCTTACAAAAGTGCCAGAAGGCTGTGAACTCGTCATTCATCTTCAGATTCTAGGTATTCACCAGAAAAAGGGCTCAGCCACTCACTTGAGGAGAGTGGGCACTGAAGAGCAGAACAGTCATTTCAAATCCTCAACCCACAAAGCAGCCAGCATCTACTTAAGGCAAAGGTCTTCAACCTTCTTGACAATGCCCCATGGGGAACGAGGTCAGAAGGACATTTGCCAAAGTCCCGCAGACAATTACCAGAAGTGTATGGTCTCAGAAAAGACTTGTAATCACCTCAGAAGAGAATCTGCAAGTAGCAAGTGAGAAAAGCACGTGAAAACTGGTTGCCTCACATGTTCCTGGGAATTAGCTTTCAGAGTTAAGTAAGCCAGACTCTCCACCAAGGAGAAAAGTGCATTTCCAACCAGCTGGACACTTACGGTCCAGTGAGTCCACCAGGAGCCATACCTGAACTCAGAGCCAGGAGTAAACACTGAGCCCAGCTGAGAGTGGCCCCTAAAAAACAAAAAGTTTTAAAAAATAAAAGGATTCTTCCTGTAGGTTCATTCATTATGAAATGATCTCTAGATTGACTTGGTTCCACTCAAAAGGCACCAGGCAAGAAGAGTTTCTTGCACCTGTCAGTGATTCAGTGAGTTCAGCAAATGAAATTCTTGGAGATCAGAGACATCTAGACTTCCTCGAGTTCTCTTCTGCTGCAGAACTGGCTTGTAGCCACAATTCCAGAGTACTGATCTGGCTCTTTTGCTGATTTGTTTCACAGCTTGTACTACGTTTAGTTGCAGGACCAGGGCCCTGGGGAACCAACAGGTCAGGCACCAGAAGTGAGACTGCTATTAAAACCCCCCAAACCAGTGCCTTGCAGGAGAGCGTGCTATGTGTCTTGCGATTCTGGGCCAATCAGCAGGTATCAGAAAGGAGACAATCTCCAACACAGCTGCTATCCTAGGGGTCAGGCATGGCTGAGCTGTCACAGGGGCTGTTCTGGGGGGAAAGAATGTGTGCCCGCTTCCATAAACGCTCTCTTTAGAGTCTAGACAATACAAATAGTGTGAAGAAGCATTGGGTAGAAGGGACGGGTAGGGGACAGGTACTACAGCACCCCTAACACGCCCACCCCCCCGCCCCCCAGTCCCGTCTTGGATATTTTCAGGGCACACCCACACACTTCTCCCTTGGTCCAGGAGGTGTGGCCAAATGCACTGACAGATACAAGATGCCGGACTTGGAAAGGTTAATAAAAAGAGACGGGGGGGGGGGGGGGGGGCCCAATTCTACTCACTACTCAGCTTCCCTAACACATTTATGCCCTTGGACCTTAAAAGACCAGGTCTAACAAGGTGAATCCAGGAAAGGGAGTTGTGGAAGGAGGCCTGGATGGGGGCAGTCTTCCTTCTCTGGTCCCTGTCACCCCTGAGGCAGGGACAGAGTTGTTGAGGTGCAGGGGCTGCGAGTGGGCTCGGGGCTGGCACCCTCAAGGAAAGGACTCTCGGCCAGCCCTGACCGGGTGCAGCCGGGCCAGACGCTGCACACATTGCACGCCTTCCTCCAGCAGCCTCTCGCTGGGACCCAGGGCGAGGGGACCCGAGGCTCTCGGGATCGCCCATCCCTCCGGAGACCCCCAGCCTCTCCTCCCCATCACTCCAGCTCCCCAGGGCCGGCGCTCCCACCCCCGCGGGCCGCCAGCCTCACCAGCTGTTCCCGGCGGCTGGAGCTCCGATCGCTGAGCGCCCGGCAGCCCCGAACATTAACGACCCCTGGCGCCGGCCTCGAGGCCCCGGCCCGAGCACACTCGCCACTAGCACGGCGCCCGCCACCGCCCGGCCCGGCGCACCAGCATGTTGCGCGGCGGCCCCGGAAGCGGGCGGGAGGCGGAACCGGAAGCGCGCGCGGCGCCTCCACGCGCGGCCCCCGCCGGGGGCGGCCCCGCGCGCCGGCCGCCGCGCCCCGCGACCCAGCGCCGGGGGGGCTCCGGCCAGCCCCGCGCCCCGTGGCCCGCCGCCGCCCCTGGGCCGCCCCGACTGCGCGGGGCCGCCGTGAGCCAGAGCGCGAGCGGAGTCGCGGGCGCGCGACGCCGGCCCCACCCGCGGCGCGCGGCGTGGTAGCGCCCGGTCGCCTTGGAGACCGAGGGCAACACTCGCGCGGAGCAGCCGCCGCCGCCGAGGCCATGGCCACGCTGGCCCGTTTGCAGGCGCGGGCCCAGGTGCTGGGCCAGCACTACTACTACAAGAACAGGTGAGTCGGCCCGCGGGCGCCGGCTGCTCCCCGCCTGCGGGTCCTCGGGGGCACTTTCCGGGCACGCAGGTCCCCGTGTCTGGGTTCCATCCCCCCACGTGGGTGAGCTGCGGAGGGTTCCTTCAGCCCCGTGCGCACACGCCCGGCGGACAGGAAAGCCCCCTGTAGGGGCGCAGGGGGCCGGTGTGTGGCGCAGAGGGAGCCCTGCTTCGACTTTCCGGAAGGCCCCACAGAGATGCAGTGGGCCACCGATGGACCTCTGGGCGCTGTCCTCGCTCAATCGGCCCTGCGCAGGGCAGGACGGACTGGGCCAGCTCAGGCCTGCCCCGCCCCCTGGAGATTGGGGCCTCAGAAATGTCAAGACCACTGAAGCCTCCTTCCCAAGACTCACTAGTCTCTCAAGTGATGTCATGAAAGGACCCATCTCTTTCTGGATTTAGAAGGCTCCGGAAGGCTCCACTTCGCCACCGCCCGAAGTCCCTGCTCCAGAAAGCGGCCAGCGAGCCACGGACTTGGGGAACCGAGTCTGCAGGAGTTCCCGCAAAGGAGTCAAGTGGAGCAGCATTAGAAACAGCAACGGGCCAGAGGAATGGAAGCACCATCAAGAAGGGAGCCTTTGCGCGGATGAACTTGTTCTAGCATTTAGCTCATGGGGCTCCTGCCGGGCTTCTCCCTCACAGCAAGGAGAAAATGCATGTTTACACACCCTGAAAGAGTCTTGAATATGGCACTTTCCAAATCTCCAGGGCTAGGACGAAGGAGACGTTACTGGTGCCTGCTCGAGGAAATTCATGGACAACAGGATGATCGTGATCGTGAATAATAGTGGGGAAAGATAATCCCCACCTCAATTCTGAAACTGGCCATGGCAAGCATCGGTTTGGACTTATGTGTTTCATGTCTCCAGTGTCAATCATGATTCGGGGCACATAGTACATGCACAACAAATCTTTGTTAATCCCATCATTGGTCCTGTTTTAAATAAAATACCCTAAAATAGCTAAGGAGTGAAATATATTCTCTGTAGCACTGTAGCACTGTCCTCCTGTTGTTCATTCGTTTGCTCAGCAGGCCCAGTAACGGCTCCATTGTGAGACTTGTTGTTACTGTGTTTGGCATATTGAGTACATCACGGGGTAGCTTGCCAGGCTTTGCTGTGTGGGGAAGATACTCTTAGTAGGTTGCCGGACTTTCCGAGAGGGGTGGGGGGATCGAACTCAGGTTAACCGGGTTCCTCGTGCAAGGCAAACGCCCTACCCACTGTGCTATCGCTCCAGCCTATATTCTCTATTCTCCATAGGTTTGGATAAGTGTATTTAGCATTTCTTTAGAAATTATGGCACCTCTGTGTTTATTTTTAACGGGTAAATATAAAATAAATAAACTCTCCTAATTTTCATGGGCTGCTACAGGATACCGGCACTAAAAATAGTAAGAATAATGATGAACATAAAATGAAACAAATAACATTACTTGAGCACTGATTATTTGCTGATCATTGTACTAGGAACTCTTGTATATCTCATTTGTTTTTCACAATGCTACCAATGAGTATTTTAATTCTCATTGAGGGGCGGGGGGGGGGGGTGCACTAAGGGGTTACACCTGGCTCTGTGCTCAGGAATTACTCCTGGCAGTGCTCTGGAAACCATATGGGATGCCAGTAGTTGAACCCAGTTTGGCCTCATGCAAGGCATATGCCCTACCTACTGTACTGTCACTTTGGTCCCAAATTCACATTTTTTCGAGCTCAAGAACTGTATTCTAGAAAAGCCTATTGAAAACTACCATGTCAAACCACCATTTCTGCAGTTTTCACCACCAACATTGGTCCTCATCACCCTGTTTCTGATAATGACCTTTATCTTCAGACTATGAAACTATTTGGAGAAAAGTTTAGGGTTAGGTCATGAAAAAAATGTTAACATCCCGATTATTTCATTTATCAGCATTAACATTTTCAGCATGAAGCAAAGTTCTGAAATAGTACCCAGGACTTAAAATGCCAGTTTGCCTTAGAGAGAGAGAGAGAGAGAGAGAGAGAGAGAGAGAGAGAGAGAGAGAGAGAGAGAAGTTATTAATATCTTTGGCGCAAAAAATATTAAAAGTATTTATGTTTGCATGCTACCCAAAATCACTGCTCCTGTGATTGGTTACTGGGGTATTGTGAGAATGCTCAAACTCTTTCTATATAAATCAATGTTAGCACTGTAGCACTGTCCTACCTTTGTTCATCAATTTGCTTGAGTGGGCACCAATAACGTCTCCATTGTGAGACTTGTTGTTAATTGTTTTTGGCATATCCAATATGCCATGGGGAGCTTGCCACGATCTGCATGCAGATGGGATACTCTTGGTAGCTTGCTGGGCTCTTCGAGAGGGACAGAGGATTCAAACCCAGGTCAGCTGCGTGCAAGGCAAACGCCCTACCTCCTGTGCTATTGCTCCAGCCCAAATGAATAGTAATGCTGAATTTTGCAGATACAACATGCCAAGCACCCAATAGCTAACTATATCAAACCAAAGAAGAATGGTCAACTTTCAGATAGAAAGGAAAGCTGTTTGCGAAAAAGCAGTCAACTTTCTTGAGAAATTATTATTATTTTTATTTCCTGTCACTAAGTCAGTTCTTCACTAATTCTGTTGCACCCAAGAATCACCTGAGAATCTTGATAACATTCAGATTCTGATTCTTTGCATCTTATTTATGGCCATAATCTGCATTTCTCACAGGAAATATAATGGGGGGGGGGCTGAACACTGAATTCTCAGATATAGTTAGGTATTGCTCTTGAGAACCAGGGTACAATATGAGAACTGGGTCCATTAGCAATTTGCCTTGGTTCCAATACCCCAAAGAGAAATTATACAAACCTGCCTAGAATAGTCAGCTACAGTTTTAGCCTCTTGGGTTCACTGCCCTAAAGGCTGTCCATCACTGAAATGTCATTAAGTGACATATGACTATGAATCATTTATATAATTACAATATAATTAAATGTGTGTATGTTCTATTTTCACATGAGTAAAGGAACTTGAGATTCAGGCAGGTAGGTAATTTGTGTGAATTTACAAAGCTACTAACTCAAAGCCAAGTTGTCCAACTCTTGTAACTTGCCTGTAAGTTCACTTCCGACAGGACAGATCTTTTTCTCTCTCTCTCTCTCTTTCTTTCTTTCTTTCTTTCTTTCTTTCTTTCTTTCTTTCTTTCTTTCCCTTCCTTCCTTCCTTCCTTCCTTCTTTCTTTCTTTCTTTCCTTCTTTCTTTCCTTTTCTTTCTTTTGCCTTCCTTTTTCCTTCCTTCCTTCCTTCCTTCCTTCCTTCTTTTTCTTTTTTCTATTTGTTTTGCTTTAGAGTCATACCCAGCAGTGCTCAGGTCCTGGGCTCAGGGATCACTCTTGATGCTTGGGGAATCTTATGGGATGCTGGTGATCAAACCTGGGTCAACTATGTGCAAGACAAATGCCTTACCTGCTGTATTATCTTTCCAGCCCCCAGACCACATTATCTACCTTCCATAATAATCTGATGGAGTAAATGGCAGCAAAAACCAAGATCCAGAAATCCAAATGTCCTGAGTATGCCATTGTAAATCCACAAGAGTTGAAGAAAACAGCTTTGATCCTCCTCGGTTTCTTGCAATGCCTTCATTTCATGTTGACAACAAGAAGGTGGCAAAAAAAAAAAAGCTTATTAAGTCAGCACCTGACTCCCTTTGAAGTGAAATGTTAATTTTTGGGAGAAGAAGATTTTTATACTAAATCCTTAGATCAAACATTGGCAGTCCATGAAGAATAGAGAAGCTTCTTCCAAAAGAAGAAGCTGGAAGCTAAAAAGTGAGAAACAATTTGGGCAGTAGCTGCTGTCAGCTGCTGACAGAGCCAGGGAGCAGGGAGATTGTGCATTAATTAGGTCTCCCCAAGACCTCTGGATGGTTGATCAGTTGGGAAATGTTTGGTGGACATTAGTCTTTTCATCAACCCCTTAAAGTGACTGAGCATCTGGCCTAGGATATTGCAGGTGGAAAAACCTAAGTACCTTTGTAAGCTTCCAAATAAAAGAAAAAAGATGTGATGAGCTCACGTAGGACTCAAATGTTTGGTAACTTAGAGCCACCTCCCCAGGCCTGTTGATGGGCAGGGGCAGACAAATGACGGGGAAAACGGGGGTACAGGAACTGGGCCCCAAGCTGGTCGGGAGTCCGTTTATTTCTCTCTCCCGCATAGTCCGATCTCTCTCTTCATGGCACAGTTGTAGTTGTAGTTTTGATCATAGTCCCAGTCATCAGAGTTCCATCATCCTAGTCTCCTTGTGCACCTCAAAGTCCTCTCCTTTGTTATATATCCTTCCTCATCTTGGCGTAGTGTCATAGTCCTCTACTTCCAGTCATCATCATCATCTAGTTCTCCTTTTATTCCCAAAGTCTTCAAATTCTCAGTTCTCCTCATCTTCAACGTCTCGTCATTGACTTTCTAGTCCTCAGCATCAAGTCTTCAGTATTCAGTGTCTAGTCCCAACTTTCTTGTTACCAGTATCTAGTCCTGGTGTCTTATCTTTATCTCTTTCCCAGAGTCTAGTCGTCACTTTCGTCTCAGCATCTTTTTGCTAGAGTCTAGTTCCCTCTTACTCCTTACAGCCAAGTTACATAGAAATCATGAAGGGTGGGAATACATAGGTACATAGGTGGGGTTAAACATTATTATAACCACAAAGAGAGGTAAAGCATCTCCTTCAGGAGATTAACTGAAGGACAAAATCTCATCTGAGGGTTCAGCACTCAATTTACTAGGATATCCGCACAAGAGCGGGATCCATTCAGGATGCATTTCTTTCTCCTTTTCTCAGTTAGTAACCCATTTAAACAGTCAATAAATGTACTTCTTATTTATAGCAATGTCATTTTGTATGAACACAGTAAGACATATATTAAGCTTAAAGTTTGGCTCTTCCTGGGGGCATCTCACTATATATTCCAGATCACAGTCCTCAGGCCAGGTTAGT